TGAAGACACCAAGGGAGGCCGCGGGAGGTCGGCTGGTCGTCGTCCACGTCAGGAGAGCAAGCCGCTCAAAGAGAAGCAGTTGACGAAGTCGACGACGTCGGCGAAGGATGCCGACTCCTCTGGCAGCAAAGGGTGAAGTGGCGTGGAGGCATCATGCTCACTGGTCGGCGTTGTGAAGCAGACCGTCTCGCTGGCGCCAGAGGCCGGCGGGGACTTCAAGGCGGTGGCGCCAGAGGCCTGCAGGCCGCCGTGCAGGCAAACCCGGTGGTGGTTTTGCTCGATTGCGGCTGCTCGCACCACCTGATGGGGACGAAGGAGGCCTTCGTCAACTTGGGGCCGAGCGGCGACGTGAAGCACGTGCACGGCTTCAATGGGGCGCTACGGACCGTCCAAGGCCGTGGCTACGTCGCCTTGTAAGGGGAGGCCGGGAAGCAGGTCCTCATCCCCTATATACTCTACGTCCCGGGCGTGCAGGCGAACCTTCTATCGACCGGCCAGCTAAAGGATAGCGGCGTGCGACTACAGGACGACGGCGACGAGATGCTGCTCGTCTCGGTGGCAAGGGACGTGCTTGGTCGGGTGAAGTACACCAGCTGGGTCTTCTGCACCGACTTCCGCCCTTGCACGACGAAGCCAAGGGCGGCCACAATGGAGGCGCTGGCCCTGCGGACGATTGTAACGGCGACGAAGTCGACGCCGGACAGGTGGCACGCGAGACTCGCGCACGTCTTTGTCGATTCCATCACGGGCTCGTTGAAGCATGGAGTCGCCACCGGCCTGGACATCAAGCTGTCGACCGGGGCCAACTTGCCGTGTGCTTCCTACATCGGCGGTAAGTTGGCATGGCACACCTTACCTCACAAAGTCTCGGACGCCAAGGAGGCCCTAACCGTCGTGCACATCGATCTGTGTGGGTCGTTCAGGTTGGCGGCAAGAAGTCCGACATGCTGCAGGAGTTCGAGAAGTGGCTGCTGGTGGTGGAGCGGCAGACAAAGAAGTCGGTGTTGATGCTCCACTCAGACCGCGGAGGGGAGTTCCTCAGGAGAGCCTTCATCGACCTCGTGGACGGGAAGGGCATCGTCCACGACTTGACCTGCCTATACACTCTGAAGCAGAACGGCATGGTGGAGCGGGAGTGGAGGACGGTGGTCGAGTCAGTAAGTAGTAAATGTAAACATATAGCAAACCCTAAAGGAGGTTGTACCCACTACTGCATAACTCACTTTAACACCTAGACTAGACTAACAAACTATAACAAGTATAGTTTGACACACCCCCATATTCTAGGTGATGGCAATCATGTGGAAAGCAAAATAGATCTCAGGGTGGATTATGAAGTCACCACACGGTCCGAGAGCAAAGGTCACACGACCAGTCAGCAATAATAAGCAACGGTCACAAGACCAGTTTACAAGAACAAAGCAACTCTCGGAGTAGATTTCAAGATCACCACACAGTCTGAGAACAAGCAAGGGGCCACAAGGCCGGTCCACATGCAAGACTATAGCAGATATAGGAGATGCAAGAGTACAAGACAAGCAAGACAAGCATCTCTACATAAACAAGGGGCCACAAGGGCAGTCCACAAGCAGATATATAGCAAATATGGTGAGACGCAAGAGTGCAAGACAAAGCATCTCTACGCAAGCAAGGGCCTGTAGACACAAGGCCTAGTTGGGTGCAGAAACGCTGGTGGTCACAGGGCGGCAACGCCTTGATGAAGATATCTACTGTGTTGGCCTCAGAGACCATACGACTCACGAGTGCCTAGCCATGCTGAAGTAACGAAGCTGGATGTGCTTCGCCTTCCCAACCAGTCGGGGCTTCTCGCACAACATGATAACCTGTTGTTAGCGAACAAGACAGGGGGAGAGCAAGGCCGCTCACCAAGGTCGGTAGGGAGGAAATTCAGCCAGCGAAGCTCCTGGGCGGCCATGGCCGCAGCGTACACCTCTTCGTTACAGCTGGAACTAGAGACGGAGGACGTCTAAGTCGACCTGCACGAAACAGCTCTGGTCCCAAGGCTGAAGCCGTAACCCTGTGTAGACCACAGCGACTCAGCGTCGTGGGCCCACGACGAGTCCGAGAAACCTGTAAATGTAACTGGCTGCTTCCCTCCAAGGGCAAGTCCCATGCCTGGTGTACTCGCCACATACTTCACCACCCTCTTAGCTGCGTACCAGTGGGAAGGTCGGTGTCTCCCTGTTATGTGATGCTATCATTTGCATTCACGCCTGTCTGCCTCCCATCATATGTTCGTGCGTTGCATGCGTGGTGTGAGCGTGTGCAAGAATTTGCATTTTGGCATGGTTTGGATTTTCTGAGTGTGTGTGAATGTTATTTTGATTGAGCAGATATGTGAAGTGACTCCTCTGCTCGATGGCATTCCGACGAACCAAGGATCGCTTTAATCGGAGCACGAACACGAAAGTTACGAACATTTGAAGTTCGTACGCTTTTGATATTTGGTTGTGGCGATTATGGGAAGTTGTGGGGTTGACTCCATAAGGGGTATAGACATTTGGGGGTTGGGAAATTCGTCCCCATCACTGTAGATGCTGCCAAGTGGTTGGGAGAAACCAATTTGGGTTGGCAAGTGTGGCCAACTTGGGTAAGGTGGATTGTGGAGGTTGGGAAAATGACAAGGGTGCAAGTTGGGTACCTATAGAGAGGGAAATTGTGTGGCATGATGTTTCCTTGGTTGGGGACTCTCTTGGGACCTTCCCTCTCGTCCTCCTCTTCCCTTCTACCTGGTTTATTGCTACTCTAACTTTCTTGTGTGATACTTGTGAGACAATTGTGATTGAGTTAAGATTCTATGGCAGCTTACCCCCTAGTGCGCCGAAATTCATAACTCAAGAGATACGTCACCTTATCGTACGATTCAAATTGGGAATTGTGGCTACTACATATCTGAATTTGGTGAAGTTTTGACGGTGAACCTTTCGTCGACGGCGTTTCTTGTGAACTCGACGATTCTGTCCAGAATTCTAAGCCAACGATTTTGTGAGATTTCGGCCCCTAAACTTTATAGACTCCGTCCTTAGTCTCTAACACTCCCAGGTGCAACAAAGCACGCAAGGACACAAAGAGGGTAAGCTAGGTCTGGGCGAGTACATGTCATCAGGTACATGAGACAACCCACCAACTGGACCGCTGGACTAAAATGGCTCGTTCGAAGGTGGAGCCGTGAGCCCATGATCCACAGCAAGAAGGGTGAGCTGTACCTTGGAGAACGGGAAGCGAAACCACGTAAGGATCGGCTCGACCATGCGACTGCGTCAGCGTAATGGTGCGAGCTGCCCTGTCCATAGTGATCTGCAGGCCAAGGTCGCGCTGCAGCTCACCAAGGTCATTGCAAGTGTGTCTCCTCTGCAGTACCTCCTTCACGGAGGCCAGTGCGCGTCGGTCGGGAATGGCGAAGACCAGGTCGCCAAAGTAGACCAGAACAAAGAATGGGGTCGAGCCGCGGCGGACAAACAGCGACGGGTCAGCAGACGACGGAAAGAAGTTAAGCGCAGCAAGAGTCGTACGTAGTGTGTCGTACAACTCGCAGGGAGCCTGGCGCAGGCCGTAGACCGGTCGACCCAGCTGCCACTTGGTCCCAGGAGGGAAAGTGCCAGTGAAGCCAGGCAAATGAGGCAGCCAGATCTGCTCGTGCAAGCTCCCCTGAAGGGACCCGGTGGAGAAGTCCAAGGAGTGCAACTCGTAGTCGTGCTGTGCTGCAATATGCAGCAACACCCGAAGAGTGGTCATCTTCGGGGTGAAAGCGAAGGTCAGGAAGAAGTCAACCCGTCTCGCTGACTGAAGCCTCTTGCCACGTAGCGCGCCTTGAACACCGGTGGTGCTCCAGGCGGCCGCTTCACCTTGTAGAGCCATATGCCACTAACGACGTTCGCCCCAGGTAGTGGGATGGCGTTGACGTAGGTGCCTGTGGACCTATAAGATGCCATCTCGGCCTCCTCAGGTGCTATCGAGTACGAAGCCCAGGGTATCGAGACTGCCTCGGCGTGAGTGCGAGGGATCGGGATGTCACGGGCATCTGGATCCCCCTCAGGGGCAAGCAGCATGGCACAGAGATGAGGAACAGCGGCCGCAAGGAAACCAAGCTCGAACTGCCTATCCTCTAGGACCTCCAGGGGAAAAATAGGAACACCCCCAGTGGACGGGCAATGAGCAGTGCCGCTCACCAGGTGAGAGGCGTAGTCAAGGCAGTGGGAAGAGGCAAAGGCACTGACAGTAGTGACAAGGGCCGAGAAAGACAGCGGGGGGGGCAGTCGGGTGAGTGACCAACGCGGACAGAACACGGGAGACGACAGGGCGAGAGGCACGGAGGTAGTCGGACAGTGGGTCGGGAAACACAGTAAGGGACGATTCAGGAGGCCATGGAAGGATTGGAGGAGGTGGAACACGAGAGTGGAGTACAAGGTGAAACGGGCTCTCAACACGGTAACGAGACCGACGAGGCTCTGTAGACACAGCACGACTGAGGGGAGAACGACGAGGCGACGGGGACGAGGCAAGGGACTCGAAAGGGAAAACAGGGGGGGACGGTAGGGGACCACGGATCAAACGTGCAGGTGCCGGGTCGGGCAGGTCTCTCAGTCGCTTCTGCTCCGCCTCCTTCGGCGTCTGCTGCGGCGGCACCTGCCCATGCTGCTGCTCCTGCTGCTCCAAGTGTGGCTCCTCCTCGACTCTCTCTTGCAGCGGCTGCAGCTGCACCTGCTGCTGCGGCCATGACTCCTCCCCTACCCTTTCCTGCTGCACCCGCAACTGCACCTGCTGCTGCGGCCATGACTCCTCGTCTACCCTCTCCTGCTGCGGCTGCAACTGCACCTGCTGCTGCGGCCGTGACTCCTCCTCTACCCTCTCCTGGTGAGGTTGCGACTCCTCCTCTACTCTCTCCTGACGCTCCGAATGCGACTGCTCCTGCTGCTGCCGTGTCCTCTCAAACCGCTCCCGCTCCTCCCTCTCCAAACGAAGAAGACGGTGCTCACGTGTCAGGAAACGTACAATGCGCGGTGTAGGCGACGAGGTGCCCGCGCCTCCAGCTCCAGCACCCCCAGAATCAGAACCTCCACCGACAACACCCCCAGCGCCTCCAGTACCTTCGGCAGGAACAACCCCAGACTCCGCAGCGACCGGCCGCAGAGGAGAACGAGGGGGGAACTGCAGAACTGACGGGAATCCAGGGGGTGAGGCGGGGCAAGGCCGCCGACTCGAGGCAGCCGTGTCCTCCACAGGTGGGGCCTCCACACTCACACCCCCTACACCCCCAGAGCGGGCACCACCAGCTCCAGTAGCCCTAGTACCATCACCCACCGCAAATGCACCTCCCACACCCCCAGACACGATAGGGACTGGACGCTATGCGACACACATGACGGGGCAGGACGCGAATGGAGGGGGAAGGTCAGGGGTGAGGAACAGCGGGGAAAAAATGGCCTCAGAACCTCGGTGGGGGTGATTCCTGTAGTAACAGACCGACTCGTCGAAAGTGACGTCCTGGGAATTAAAGAACTCGCAGGTAACCGGGCCCAAAGGGAAGCCAAGAAGGACACAGGCACGAGTACGCGCAGGCAACGTGTTCGCACCAGGGGCGCGAACGTGAGCCAGAGAATCCCAAACGCGGTAGTCAGTTGCTACACCCTGAAACCCTGTCCAAAGGAAAACTAACGTCACCCATGGCCATGCATCACTGGGCCATAGGTTCAGCTGGTAGGCGGCGTAGCGGACTGCATGACACCACAGGAACTAGGGGGCACCGGCATGGCAAATGAGGTCCGGGCATCCTCCATGATCAGGCCGATGCGTCGCTCGACTACCCCGTTCTGCAGCAGCGAATCTGGGAGCGTGTAAGACTGGATGATTCCCTGACCCTGACAGAACGTTGCCAGGCACGTGGAAGAAAACTCACCACCACGGTCCGAGTGCATGCGGAGCCCACAAATGCCCTGGGCTCCACCCCTCGCTAGTAGCCATGGCTCGAGGACGATAGGCGCGTCGGCCTTCCGTCGCAAGGGGAAAACCGTGGTGTAGCGGGAGTAATCGTCCACCACAATCAGGAAGTAGCGCTCCTGACGTGGGCCAAGGACCGGGGAGGGGCCCCAGATGTTCATGTGCAGGGTTTGGAAGGGAGCCGTGGTGGGGGGGGAACGAGGAGGAGTAAGGGGCAGCGCGCTGCCGACCCTCGACGCAAGGAGTGCACGGGGAAGCGGGGCAAGCGACTCTGGGAGACCTGAGACCAGACGGTGTTGTACCATCCTACTATGACGTGGGAAGGACGGTTGCCCTAGACGGTGGTGCCAGAGGACCGACGGGTGGGTTACTGACCGACAGTCGCACGACACAGCAGCTACCTGACCTGACCTGACTTGACCCACTGTGGTGGGACTCAGTGTGTAACAAGTACAGACCTGAGCCTGGCTCCCTGTGAAAAGTGGCCGGTGGTGCCCCAGTGGCACCGTCTGTGCAGGAGGCAACAGGCTTGTCCGGAGGGAAAGTGGTGACTACTCCGAGGTCGTGGAGGTGACTGACACCCACCAAGTTCCTGGAGAATGAGGGGGTGTAGTAACCAGTAAGGACCCCAGAGGGGGCCGCCAGATACGGGAGAGTGGTGGTGTAGTGAGCTGCGACATGTCCCACTGTGGGGTCAGCCAAGGCAATAGTCACTAGAGTGCGCAGTGGTGTAAGGTTGGTGCAGTCGCGGAAGAAACAGCTGGACGCCCTGGTGTCGACGGTGAACGAAAGAAGCGTAGTCGCTGAGGTCGAACCCGTGCCAGCGACCAGGGCAGGCACTGGGCCAGCTGTGGCTGCAGCTCCCACACAAAGACGCTCAGAAGCACCTTGGCTAAAAACTACACAAGAACCAAGACTAGAAACACAAGACTCTATACTAGCAACTGGCAAATGTCGTAAGTTAGGTGCACACAAGGCAACACGTCCGACAGTACTAGAGTTACCAAAATACATCGTCTCAAAAACTTCCGACATGGAAATGAGATAAGTATCAGTCAGGCCCAAACTGCTCACGGTAGAGGTCGTCGAGGCAACGGTAGCAGCAGGACACGGAGTGGTCAGAACGCCTGCAGGTAGTGCCAGCACCAGGGCCAGTCAGGTACCAACTCGCAGGGACCGATGTCGCGACCACCGCGGAAGTGCTGAAGCTGCTGCTGCTGGCCCTGCTGCTGCAGAAATCTAGTGAACGCAATGGCTGGAACTAGATGTGGTCAGGAGCGGTCGAGTGCGGCTAGGAGCTGTCGAGCGCGGTCGGGTACGGTCCGCTACGGTCTAGTGCGATGGAATGCGGCTAAAAGCGGTCGGATGCGATTGCGTGCGGTTGGCGTGGTCTAGTGCAGTAGGGAGCAGTCTCGTGCGGTAGGGAGCGACTAGGAGCGGTCAGATGCGGTAAGGTACGGCCGGGTGTGATCGGATGCGGTCTAGTGCGGTGGGGAGCAGTCTAGTGCGGTGGGGAGTGGTCTAGTACGGTGAGTGTCAACGGGAGTTGTGTGCTGGCCCCGTCCTCGCTTGGGCGGAGCCGACTTAGTGGTCGGGTATGCGGGAGGTGCGGCCGGCCTGCAGCAGTGGGCGACGCCTACTTGGGCGAGCTGGTTGACGAGCTTGGTCGACCTGCACGGGGCAAAAGCGAAGCCCCCGACTTTGGGGAGCCGGCGGCCAACTTCAACCAGGTGGTCGACGAGGGGAGACGTGGACCTGGGAGGGGTGTAGTCGACTTGGTATGGTTGACCGGTGGTGGTCATCGACCTGGGTGGTCGACGGGCACGAGGAGGAGCTACTGGTCGATGTGGTTGCCCGGTCGACCAGGTTACCCAAGCGACGGGGTTCAGCGGAGGAGCGCGGCAGTCGCCCAAGTGTTTATGGAGAAGCCGACCTCGGTGGTGGTATCCCGAGGTCGACGTGGCTGATCAGGTGCAGTCACCAGCACGTGGACGACTTGGCGTCTGCGCTGTGCAGGTAACGGGGCAGAGCACGCCAACCAGCAGCGAGCACCTGCGAAATGGGTGCGCTGCTGTCCTGCGGGTGTAACGCTGTGCAGCCGCCTTGCTGCAGCGTTGGCACGCTGTCGACTTGCAGCGTTGGCAGGCCGCAACTTTGCACCGCTGGAGCGCGGTCGACCTTGTCGTATTGAAACGCGGTCGACCGTGCTGCGCTGGCAGTCGACCTGCATGCTTGCTAGCATTTGATGTAGTCTTGCTTGCCAACTTAGTTGCTACCATTGTTGTCAATCTTTGCTAGTGAGCCTCTTGCCAATTCCCCTCGTGAATGAGCAAGTAGTGAGAACACAAGCAACCGACCAAGGAACGCAGAGATCGCCCTCACACCCGTGCCGTTTTTTTTTTGTTATCTCCGCATGGTGCGGTGAGCGTGGACGGCCCTCACCCTTACCTTCAGTCTAGGCGACTTTGTTGCACATTACCTATCTTGTTCGTAGGCCAGCAGCTGTGTTAGTCACCATGGTTGGCTCTGTAGGTGACGCAGGCGTAGTGGATACCCTGGAGATACGGCTGGCTGATGCGAGGATACGACACGAAGATGGCGAGTATGGGCAGACCCTCCCCTTGGAGGTTGTCGAGCTAAGCATCTGTGCAAAGTGTGCAACGGAACATCCCTCTCGACCTGCTTCTCCTCGGCCGGTGAACAACGAAGGTGGCGTCGACATGGGCGTCAACGCCGGTGACCAAGTCTGCAGCAGTGCGGGAGGCACGTCGAGGCAGAGAGGGGTGTTCTGGACGGCCGACGGTGAAGTCGGCGGCGTTCAGGCGCGAGGGCTGCAATTGTCGGCGGCTGCGGGCTCCTCGCAAGGCGACGTCGGTGGACGTCGAAACAGTGTGACGCCGGCGTCGGCGACCAACGTGACGGCAGGCGGGATAACGTCGACGTACATCTACTTCAAATTCACGCCGGACAAGATCGCTGTTCCCGTGCTGCTGGTCGGTCGACCTGACCTCCTCACCTGGAAGGAGGCCATCGAGCCCCAGCTGGAGATGGTCGGGCTGCTGTGATTTGCTGACAGCTCCAAGAAGATGCCGCCTGAGAGCAACCCCGAGCTGCGTGCGGAGTTTCGCGCCGTGCACCTGTTCACCTTCATGGTCATCTTGCGGTGCTCCTCGCTGGTGGTGCAGATCGCCTTGAAGTCGTGCCGGCGTCACCTTGACGCTAGACATCAGGCGTGGCGGTTCATTACGTCGACGTACCAGGTCACCAACAACCTGTACATCGGCCAGCTAGAGGAGCAGACGATGCACCTGCGGATGGGCGAGTAGGAGACGGCGACCGACTACTGCAACCGAGCTCGGTGGCCTGCATGCGGATGGCCGGCGTCTAATACTCGACGACGTCGTACATCACGCACGTCATCAAGGGGATCTCAAGCAGCTACAACCTGATGAAGGGACTAACGGCGGCGCCGGGCACGCGGGAGTCACTCAACAAGGACTCGCCTAACCTTGTATATCCTCAGGGACGAGGCGATACAGGAGGCCGAGAGGTTGACAGAGCTCCTGCCGCAGGCGAACTACATCGCTTCGACAAAGCAAGGTGGTCGACCGGGGCAGCGTGGCAAGCCTGGCGGCGGTGGTAGCGGAGGTGGCAAGCCGGCCAAGAACGCCGACAAGCAGAAGTCGGCCAAAGATGGCGGTCGTGGAGGAGGAGGTCGACGTCGGGAATGCTGGCTGTGCGGCGACACCAACCATCTCTCCTTGAGTGCCCCGACCGCAGCGACTCCGACGACGACGACACCAAGGGAGGCCGAGGGAGGTCGGCCAGTCGTCGCCCACGTCGGGAGAGCAAGCCGCGCAAGGAGAAGCAGTCGACCAAGTCGACGTCGGTGAAGGATGCCGATTCTTCCTCTGGCGAGAAGGGGTGAGGCGACGGGGAGGCGTCGTGCTCGTTGGTCGGTGTCGTGGAGCCGACCGTCTCACTGGCGCCGGAGGCCAGCGACGATTTCCAAGCGGTGGCAGCAGCTGTGCAGGCGAACCCTGCGGTGGTCCTGCTCGACGGCGGCTGCTCGCATCACCTGATTTGGACGAAAGAGGCCTTTGTCGACTTGAAGCCGAGCGGGGACGTCAAGCACGTACGCATCTTCAATGGAGCGCTGCAGGACGTCCACGGTTGAGGCACTGTCGCCCTCTCATCCACAACGTCCTCTACGTCCTGGGTGTGCATGCTAACCTGCTATCGGCCGGCCAGCTGAAGGAGAGCGGCGTGAAGCTGCAGGACGATGGTGATTGGATGCTGCTCGTCTCGGCGACGGGGGACGTGCTTGGTCGGGCGACGTATACCGGCCGGGTCCTCTGCACCGACCTTCGTCCGTGCATGGCGACGTCGACGTCGACCATGACTAAGACGGTGGCTCTGCGGACCATCACTACAGCGACGAAGTTGACACCGGCCAGGTGGCATGTGAGGCTTGCACACATCAGCGTCGACACCATCAAGAGCTCGGCGAAGCACGAGGTAGCCACCGGCCTGGACATCCGCCGTCGGCTGGCGCCGACTTGCCGTTTGTCTCGTGTGTCGGTGGGAAGCTGGCGAGGCACACCTTCCCCAACAAGGGCTCGGACGCCGACGACGCTCTGGCCGTCGTGCACATCGGCCAGTGTAGGCCGTTACGGGTGGCCGCCGGAGATGGCAGCCCGTACTTCTTGCTGCTGAAGGACCGCAGGACCCGCTACGTGTGGGTGAGGCCGGTCGCCAAGAAGTCTAACGTGCTGCGGGAGTTCGAGAAGTGGCTGCTGGTGGCTGAGCAGCAAATGAAGAAGTCGGTGCTGACGACAGGGGAGCAGTGGAAGGGCAAGGCGGTGAAGGCCGCCATGAACGAGTGGATCCCAGCACGTTGGTGAGCTGGAAGGGCAAGGCGGTAAAGGCGATGTTGGGCGTCACGTCGGCCGCCGGCTAGGCGAGCTGGATCCCGGCAAGGCGAGCTGGATCACGGCCGACGTGACGCCCAGCAAGTTGGCGAGCTGGAAGGGAAAGGCGGTGAAGGCCGCCATGAACGAGGAGATCCGCAGCCTCATCGGCATGGGCACCAGGGAGCTGGTCGAACGGCCATGCGGGGTAAACATCATGAAGAACCGGTGGGTGCTGATGACCAAGTACCACGTCGACTGTCAAAGATAGAACTGGAAGAATGAATGAGCAGAAACAAGCAGTACAAGGGAGGATATACCAAACCCTAAGGGGGTTATACCCTCTACAGCATAAGTCAGTGTAACACCTAGACTAAACTAACAAACTATAACAA